CGTGCTCCTCAAGTGAGTCGGGAGGCTAGGGGATTCTCCTCAAAAAGGGGTTTCCAAGTCCCATCGCAAGAGCCCCTGCACACGGGGCGGTGAGAAGCTGGAGCATCAGGAGGGTGATGGGGATGTTGGCTGGTGCTGTGCTTTGCGGGGTGGCATCCTCTGGAGAGGGGGTAGAAGCCAGGGGGACACTGGTGACATCCCTCCCAATCTGGTGTCCTGCAGGACGGGGGAGGCCTGGCGCTCGGACCGCCTGATGCTGAACAAGGAGGTGCTGTCACCGCAGATGGCAGAGGGTTTCGTGCCTCTGCTGAGCGAGGTGGGCGAGGACTTCGTCCGGCGGGCACGAGCCCAGGTGGGGAGGAGCGGCCGTGAGCACTGGACAGCCGACTTCACCCACGAGCTCTTCCGCTTCGCCCTGGAGTGTGAGTATCAGGGGCACGAGGCTCTGCAAGGTGTGTGTCCCCCCCCAAACACCCCCTTGCATGGTGCCCCTTGCAGGGTGCCTGAGATGGGTGACATGCTGCAATTCCCCCGGCTTCATCCTCAGGGATGGGCAAACAAGCTTCTCCCCCAAAGCCTTAGTGTCTGGAGGGATGTCCTCTCTCCAGACAAGCAGCGAACAGCTCAGCTCTGCTGATAAAAGTTTTGTCATCCACTGGTCATCAAACAGGTAGCCAACCCTGCCCGACAAGGAGTGCCTCCATGGCTCCGTGTTGCTCGGAGCGAGGACGAGGCCCAGCTAGGTCCCTGTAGCCACGGAAAGGCTGGAGTTGGCCATGGGAGGGTGGAGGGGACGGGGTCCCCTCTGACCAGGTCCCCTCATGGGTGCTGTGCTCGCAGCCGTGTGCCATGTGCTGTACGGGGAGCGGCTGGGGCTGCTGCAGGACTTCGTGGACCTCGAGGCGCAGCGCTTCATCGATGCTGTGAGCCTGATGTTCCACACCACCTCGCCCATGCTCTACCTGCCACCCACCCTCCTCCGCCACCTCAACACCAAGACGTGGCGGGACCATGTCCAGGCCTGGGATGCCATCTTCACCCAGGGTGAGCACTCCTCCTGCCTGCACCACCCTCTGTCACCCAAGGCCCCTTGGAGGTCTTGGCTTCATAGCGCAGCCGCGTCTCCCCAGCGTGGAGACCTTCTCCTGGTCCAAACACCCAGCACAGGGCCACCGAGTCCAGGAAGGTTTTCCACATCTGGAGCTTGAGGGATGGAGCAGTGGGGAACCATCCAGGAGGATGAAAAGCAGATGATGGGCATCACATTTTAGAGGGGCTTGTGGCCTGAGGGAGCTTTTGGCATCTGGGACAATCCTCCTGTGGGGTTTCCCCCTCCTGGGGCACCCTCACCCCTCACACTCTGTGCCCACCCAGCCACTGCTGGGTCCCACAATCCCAGGCTGCTGCAGGGACAACTGTGAAGGAAAAGCCACCGGCTTGGGGCAGTGATATCCTCAGCTGCCACATCTGGTGCCTTCCTTCTCCACCATGGCCCCGGTCTCCATGTTTCCTCAGCTGACATGTGCATCCAGAATGTCTACCGGGACCTACGGCTGCAGCGCAAGAGCACCAAGGAGCACATGGGCATCCTCTGCAACCTCATCCTGCAGGACAAGCTGCCCTTGGATGACATCAAGGCCAGTGTCACTGAGATGATGGCGGGAGGGGTGGACACGGTAAGGAGCGGGCAGGGCGGCTGGGCAGGGAGAAGGTCCTGGCTGGTACTGAGCCTTGCTCCCCTGCCTCGCTCCAGACCTCCATGACGCTGCAGTGGGCCATGTTCGAGCTGGCACGGTCCCCGGGGGTCCAGGAGCAGCTGCGGGCAGAGGTCCTGGCCGCCAAGCGAGAGGCAGCGGGGGACAGGGTGAAGATGCTAAAAACCATCCGGTTGCTCAAAGCTGCCGTCAAGGAGACGCTCAGGTGAGGAGGAGCTGAAAAACCACCCCAGCCCCTTCCCGCCCAAAATCTCTCGCACTGCTGGGACATTTTGCACCGAGGTGGGCTTGGCTGGGCCAGGTTGTCCCTCAAAATAAGGTGTGTGGGACCTGCCCTCCCCAGGCTGCACCCTGTGGCAGTGACCCTGCAGAGGTACACCACGCAAGAGGTCATTCTCCAGGACTACCGTATCCCCCCCAAGGTGAGCACAGTCCCCGGGTCTCTCCTCACCATGACCCACTTCACACAGGGCTCTGGGCGGAGGTGGGACCTGGAGCACGGGTGGGTGACGTAGGGGGAGCATCTGTGCGACTCGTTTGGGGCTGGATCCCATCCCTGCACCCCCTTCCTGAACCCTGAGCACTCAAAGCTGCGGGGGGAGCCCAGACCCATGGGGCTGGTCCTTCCCCGCAGACGCTGGTGCAGGTTGGTCTCTATGCCATGGGCCGGGATCCTGAGGTCTTCCCCAAGCCGGAGCAGTTCAGCCCGCAGCGCTGGCTGTCAGCAGGCTCCAAGCACTTCAAGGGGCTGGGATTCGGTTTCGGACCCCGCCAGTGCCTGGGGCGCCGGATCGCCGAGCTGGAGATGCAGCTCTTCCTCATGCACGTGAGCATCCCACTGCTGGGGACACCGTGGACCTGGCGCTGAGGGGACCAGGAGGGGTGTGTGGCATGGGTGGTGTTGGTACTGCCGGTGTTTTCCACCTGCTCTTTTCTCCTCCATCCCAGATCCTGGAGAACTTCAAGATTGAAACAATGAGAGCAGTGGAAGTTGGGACCAAGTT